AAAGGGAAGGAGGCACAAAGATTACCTATCGCTGGTGGTTCGTCGGTGCTATCTCTCGAATTGGCAGAGGTCAATGGCACAAATAATATGCTTGAAGGTATAATTCCAGCGACTATTGGTTCGCTTCCGAGCCTAAAGTTAGAGATGTATACATCTAGAAAGATATATACATATAGAAATGCATAGCAATTGTTAACAAAGAGAGAAACATGTCTTACACGGAAATATAAGAGCTAGAAAGATCGACCGAACACCGATCTAAATTTCTGATCAAACACCGTGAATAATCAAAGAGAAATAAAACACACCGCACAACACTCAATCAAATAAAAATGATTCGACCTCAAAGTCTAATTTGCCAGTATAATTTTTACCTCAGATCTGAGAGAAAGAAATATCACCGGAACAAATTGGAACAGAAATATCATTTGATTCGTCGATCCTTAAAANAAAAAAAAAAGCAATATGATAAAGAGTTGAAATTTTATCACCTTCTTTAGATAGAGAAGGAACATTAATGATTTTTTATATGAAAAATAATTACATTAAAAAATACAATAACACTAGTTATTAACCATGCCTGAAGGCACTGTGAAACAAAAAAAAGATCAAGTAAAAAAAATGCAAAGAACGCCTCTATTTCACCCATCGCCAATCATTAGCAACTGACCAAGCAATGCCCGATGAGCTGCCTGGGCAATTTTTTGGGAACATTTGCACAACAATGGGGAAAAAAATATGTTTTAATTGAAAAAATCTCACTAAGTGATATCATGTTGAATTTGAACTCTAACAGGATCACCTAAGCTAGACCAAAGATACCAAGATGCAACCTGTAACCTTAAAAACTTGCTCTCTTTGTTCAAGAGTTTTATTTCCTATAAATCCATGTGCAGCTGAGATAGGGTAAAGTTCCCAAAAGGCTCAATCAAGCAATGAATACAACTAACTATCACTAAACTGAGTTACTTATATTGCTACTCACAAAAGGCTCAAAGAAGAAGAAATATAACACATTTAACTTATGAAAAGCACAGAAAAGAATGGAAAAATGAAATAATTTATCATGAAAGATTTCAAGAACAAATCCATAGCCTGAATTCTAATATGCAATTTCTCATCTCCTTTAGCAACATTTCCATCAAATTTAGATAGTTCTGTCGTCAACATTTCAATCAAATTCAACATAAATGCCTCTAATACTTTTTTCCACCACATAAACTCGCAACCTATATGCCATGTGCTAGCCGCATTAAGGTTTCATGAGCAAGCTGACAAAATCTGAATATATCATTTTGTGAACAATCCATTGTGACAATTGAGAGGGANTTTGTGCACGTATAACACGTAACCCATTTTCATTGATATCTATTAATATAATCGTTAAAAAAATATAATTTTATCCTAATAAAAAAATTATAATTTTACATTACCCTTTATTTTATGGGTTCAATATATTCTAAAGTTCAAAATCTAGTTTACTATTTAAATGTCTAATAAAATGTAAATATTTATATAATATTTTTCATATTACCTTTTATATAAATATCTACATTTTATTAGACATTCAAATGGTAAGTTTGATTTTCAACTTTAGAGTATATCGAATCTACAAAATAAAATGTAATATGAAATTATAATTTTTTATTAGAATAAAATTATATTTTTTAACGATTATATTAACAGATATCAACGAAAAATGGTTATGTGTTACACATGCACAAACGTCATAAGGAAAATATTCTAAATGTAAAGAAGTTCAAATGATTAAGTGACAAACATGAAGGTATCTATGTATAATTTATTAATTTAATTTTAGGTGCACATTGATATGAATTTCTATCTTTGAGGGTGCAAATTGAGATTTTTTATCTTTGGGGATGCATATTGATACAAATTTCTATCTTTGAGGGTGTAAATTAAGATTTTTGATCTTTGGGAGTACAAATTGAGATTTGAATAATCTTTTAAAGTACAAAATAAGATTAATTTAATTTAAGGGGTGACCAAAGAGAGAGATATGGGCGCGAATCTCAAAATTGTTAGGTTAATTCTACCTCGGGTTAAAGTCCGTAAAATTTAGATAAATCTAAAATACGGAAAAAATATATATATTTTGTATATTTTTTGAAATTTGATTAGTAAGTTATTTTATTATATAAATATTTAATTTAATTAANGCTACCAAGGATGCTGGTGTTATTTCTGGTCTCAATGTCATGCGTATTATAAATGAGCCAACAGCTGCTGCTATTGCTTACGGTCTTGACAAGAAAGCTACCAGTGTTGGTGAGAAGAATGTGCTAATCTTTGACCTCGGTGGTGGCACTTTTGATGTCTCCCTCCTCACTATTGAAGAGGGCATTTTTGAGGTTAAATCCACTGCTGGAGATACTCATCTTGGAGGGGAGGATTTTGATAACAGAATGGTGAACCACTTTGTGCAAGAGTTCAAAAGGAAGCATAAGAAGGACATTACTGGGAACCCCAGAGCTCTTAGGAGATTGAGAACATCTTGTGAGAGGGCAAAGAGGACCCTCTCATCCACTGCTCAGACCACCATTGAGATTGATTCTCTATTTGAGGGTGTAGACTTCTACTCTCCCATCACCCGTGCCAGATTTGAGGAGTTGAACATGGATCTCTTTAGGAAGTGTATGGAGCCTGTTGAAAAATGTTTGAGGGATGCTAAGATGGACAAGAGCACTGTCCATGATGTTGTTCTTGTTGGTGGATCAACCAGAATTCCCAAGGTGCAGCAGCTATTGCAGGACTTTTTTAATGGGAAGGAGCTATGCAAGAGCATCAACCCTGATGAGGCAGTTGCCTATGGTGCTGCTGTACAAGCTGCCATTCTGAGTGGTGAGGGCAATGAGAAAGTTCAGGACTTGCTGCTTCTGGACGTCACTCCTCTCTCCCTTGGGCTGGAAACTGCTGGAGGTGTCATGACTATTTTAATCCAAAGGAATACAACAATTCCTACCAAGAAAGAGCAAGTATTCTCTACCTACTCAGATAATCAGCCTGGTGTATTGATTCAGGTATACGAAGGTGAGAGAACAAGAACCAGAGACAATAACCTTTTGGGGAAATTTGAGCTCTCTGGCATTCCTCCAGCTCCCAGGGGTGTGCCTCAAATTACCGTTTGCTTTGATATTGATGCCAATGGTATATTGAATGTCTCTGCTGAGGATAAGACCACCGGACAGAAGAACAAGATCACAATTACCAATGACAAGGGCAGGCTATCAAAGGAGGAAATTGAGAAAATGGTTCAGGAAGCAGAGAAATACAAGTCAGAGGATGAGGAACATAAGAAGAAGGTCGAGGCTAAGAATACACTGGAGAACTATGCCTATAACATGAGGAACACGGTGAAGGATGAGAAGATTGGTGCCAAGCTCAGCCCAGCTGACAAGAAAAAGATTGAGGATGCTATTGATCAGGCCATTTCGTGGCTCGATAGCAATCAGCTTGCGGAAGCTGATGAGTTTGAGGATAAGATGAAGGAAATTGAGAGCATATGTAACCCCATAATTGCAAAGATGTACCAAGGTGCAGAAGGTGCTGACATGGGTGGCTCCATGGATGATGATGCTCCATCAGCTGGTGCAAGTGGTGCTGGCCCTAAGATCGAGGAGGTTGACTGAGGGAGTTTTTCCATTGGTATTCCCTTTTTTGTTTCCAGTTCCCCACTATATAGTCTGATAGGGAGCTGTGAATTGGATCCTGAGGGCACTTATATGTGTGCCTTTCATTTTTGGTGCCTGGCTTATGTTTTTGTTTTGGTGCCCGGCTTATGTTTTTGAGACCTATTGCTGATGAATACTTGGTATAGTGTTCATGCTTTATTTTATTAAGCTTTTATTTATTCTGACTGATGGTTCTAAGTTCTAACTAGCACAGGCATCCGCATGTTTGTTTCATTCAGTCAGACTCAACAATGTTTTATTAGCTGCAAAAACGTTTATCATATATTTTACAATATTTTTCTAGTGCTTATTTCTCTTAGATATACTATGCATGACATTGAGAAGTGGATAGTGAGCTTGGGATGAGCCGTTGATGTGTAGTACTNCTTTATTTTATTAAGCTTTTATTTATTCTGACTGATGGTTCTAAGTTCTAACTAGCGCAGGCATCCGCATGTTTGTTTCATTCAGTCAGACTCAACAATGTTTTATTATCTGCAAAAACGTTTATCATATATTTTACAATATTTTTCTAGTGCTTATTTATCTTAGATATACTATGCATGACATTGAGAAGTGGATAGTGAGCTTGGGATGAGCCGTTGATGTGTAGTAATTAATTGTTGTATGCAAAAAGGGTTACCACTATAGGGTTTGACTATGGTATCATATCATTTACTAATTTTTTGAGGTATCTATACCCATTTTTCGGTAAAATTTTGTAACTTTTGAGATGAACTCATTCACTTATTATTTTTTGGCTTCACTTATCACTTATTAAGTAAAATTTATTCGTTACTTTTTGGAGTGTTTTTCACTTTCGTAGGCTACTGAAAAATAAAATTTTGATATCATAGTTTTTTTAAATGACTATATTTTCTGTCGTCATGGGGTGGCTGCCTATGGATTTATGTGGCACTTCATCTGTTTAAGCTACACCTAGCGTCCGATTAACAATGGGTTTGTGCTGGGGCTAAGATTAATGTTGTTGAAGCTNAAATAAAATTTTGATATCATAGTTTTTTTAAATGACTATATTTTCTGTCGTCATGGAGTGGCTGCCTATGGATTTATGTGGCACTTCATCTGTTTAAGCTACACCTAGCGTCCGATTAACAATGGGTTTGTGCTGGGGCTATGATTAATGTTGTTGAAGTTTATGGATATGGATCAGCTCAATCATTTGAAAACTTATCAGAACATATGAAGTCCTTACCACAGCCGGTTGAAATAAATGTTTATCGGGTTACAGTGGGAAATGTTCTGATATAAGAATTTGGGTGATCACCCCAAGCCGGTTCTCCCCAGTCAAGTATTTTTTCGGAGGCCACCAAGTGACACGAGTGCCATGGTACCCACGTCGGTTGGTACTCCAGGCGGGTCGAGACTCAACTTTTTAGATCCGGAACCAAACGCAGGCAGGTACACTAGGACTTCGTCGGAGTCATGATTCCTTAGATTCCTTCTGAGAAGGGTACCAAAAAGTTTAATCTTACTTATGGCTCAAAAAAGTCGGTTTCTCTCATTANTTCTGAGAAGGGTACCAAAAAGTTTAATCTTACTTATGGCTCAAAAAAGTCGGTTTATCTCATTCTGCTGAGGGAAAGACGATTATGTTTATAGATTGCTTGTGATCTTACATAAATAAGACCAGATTGCTACAGTAATTGGTATGAAAATTGCCTCACACAGGCCACCTCATTGAACAATTACACATGTCAAACATTGTGATCTATGGATTAAAACTACTTTCTTCCCCTGTTAAGCCTCTGCAGATGATAATTAATGCTTCCCCAAGGCTTTCTGCTTTTGCTAGTCTGCAGGAAAGGAAATCACAAGCTGAAGTGTTAATAGGAGTGGAAATCTAAAATGGACTGGTTTTCGTTTCAGATTATTTGTTGTTACCAATATAAAGTATAAAATGGAGAATCTAGCCAATGTCCCATCACCTGAGCATCCATGCAGGCAGTCATAAGATCTTTTTGCCGAACGCACTTCTCATCATTGTTGTGGTTAAGAGCCAAACAATTAAGGAAAGCCACCATTTCCTTCATGCAAGGTTTATGGAGGCCTCCAAATTTCTTGGGGTTTATACGTAGACTACCAGCTTTCCGACCCATTCTTTCCTAGCTCGAGCTATACATTTAAAAGCAAGAAACTGTTAGACTATCAGACCTATTGATAAAGCATCAAAGGATAGTTGGTGAAACTGTGACAACAAATTTCTCTATTCCTGACTACCTCCATCAACCTAGAATTTAATGCATAGCCACAGTGTCCATTGCTATACAACCTTATAACACTCCAGCCATGTACCAAATGATATGCGCAGACAATTTGTACAAAATAAAATCTTTATTGCTGATGTCAACAATACAAAAGCAATAAGCAAACCATCCTAAAGATGCAAATTGTTATATTTTTCGGTCTCAGCTCGAAAACTAAGTAGAAAATTCTTTTAGATAGAATTGATGAGTTCTCTTTTTGGTGTTTGGGGTGGGGGAAGGGGTGTACAACCTTAGAATTGATGGTCAGTGCAAGAAAAACTTTTCAATTGGGGCTGGCTTTCCAGGCACCCTGTCTTATCTCACATAGAACTGAGGCATAATTGACTCTTAATAATAAATAAGAGGTTTATAATTTTCACAACAAAGTTCTTCAGAAGAGATTTAGTTTCTGTAGCAAAAAACTTACAAATTTCCGGTCCATGAAAGAAGAAAGAAATCTATCTTACTTAAGAGTAGATATTTATTGCATGCCCAAGTGCTCCACTAAGGCCCAAATACTTCTACCAGATTGGTTCAAGGTCAGTTGAAATAAGTTTTGATAAGACTCGTGCCTCATAAAATTACCATTAAACTCAACACCCAAGGCTATGATGTTGGCTGTCAATGCAAGGACAAAAGGATTTACAATTAATCTCAAGGAGCAAATGGTGTAATCTCACAGATAAATTTCCTTATCCAAAGTAATCGGTTCCATGGTATAACTTTATACGAACCTAGAGAGAAAATAGCACATAGTTAATCATCTTCAAGTTATGCAGAACAGTGACCATGAATTACTAAGTTCAATAATCTAAACAATCTACCCTTTCCTTGGTCTTGGAAGTGAAGAGAGATGCAAGCAAGGGCAAAATTCAATGCACCCCTTGAAGAAGTTTTTCTGCATGTTTTAATTTGTATAGCTGACAACACGATGAATACATATAAACAGATGCAGTTCTATCTTACATGCGGTTATTGTAACACGGTGCATGAAAGATGAGATAGATGAAAATGAAAAAATATAGAAGGTAGGCAAAGATAGCATATCCACCCACTCTTAAGAGAAGCAACATATGTGAAGCACAAACACAGGAACACTCAATTATCACTACTTAGAAAAACAGCAGCAGCAGTTTTGCATCATGGAGCCGAGACTAATTTTTCATGGAAATACAAAAGAGATGCTTAAGAAGATGTATAGGGGCCCATTTTCTACCCACACCAGAAACAATTTAACTTGTTTTGAGTAATGAAACAACAAACAAAATCAACTATCAAAAAGATTCTAATTGACAACAATAAAAAATACATCCATGAGCTAGTAAATTTTGACCCTTCCAATGTGTTAGTTAGGTGAGGGTCAACTTTGGAGAAATAAAAAATGTTTGTACTTCTACAAGGGGAAAATGAATCAAAGCTAAACAAATACAAAATTAGAATCATTCAACAGTAGAATCTGAACAAAGAAATGAAGTGCTATTTCAGGTGTAGGTGTCAACACCATTGCACGTATGAGGCACCTGAAATGGACATCCTAAACAATATAAATTGCAAAAGGTTGCATGAATACAACCTATAACACCTTCATTAATTAGAAAGGAAAACATAACAGTAAAAGCATGAAAATTTTAATAAAAGAATAGGTTCCCATAGATACATGGGGAAATGTGTATATGCATAAATTCCTTCCAATGTAAAGGAAAATGAAGGGAGGGAAACTTTTTTCTAATGCTTGTGTGGTCTGCACAAAGAAAGAGCCCCGTAAACAAACCTCTTCGAGTCACACACATACGCAAATGCCACAAATAGAGGGGGGAGGAGATTAAAAAGAAAGCAAATATATATATATCACCACCGACATAAGGCAACAGGACAACAGCTTAAAAAGAGAAAATGAAAGATGGTGCTTAACCAAGCATCTTTGTTTTACTGAATGCCAGAGTAGGGTGTTGGCTTGCATTGCAAAAATCATAATCTAAATAAACACCCAGGGAAAAAGTTTTGCACCTTCATGATCAATCAGTCGCTTGATAATCATGGAGATTGAACAAAATTATCTTGGGAATATATGTAAGAGCCATCGTCTAATATTTGTTGCTTACATTTAGATGCCGCATGGTATGTGTCGTGGTAGCTTACGAGCCTAGAAGATAGGTGCAAGGAGCACCTCAATATTTTATATTCAGCAAGAAATAGCTGGTTTCCCACTCTTTCCTGAACAAGTTATTGTTGGAGCCATTATTTCATCAGGTCTCCCATAAATGACCAAGTAAAAAGTGAATTCTTACCCAACAGCCCATTTTATCTTACAGCAATGGCAGCAGTTAACCATTCGATCTGTTGAACAAGCACACTAATGAAAAAATGTATATCTATAACATCTTGCATTTAGAGCCTCCTTTGGGTTTTCATGTGCAATAGTGATTATGGGGAGTTTATACTGCTACAAAAGTTAAAATAAAAGGTATAGGAAGCCTTTTTATTTTCGTTTTTTGGGGCTTTTTTCCATTCATATACAAGTGCAATACCCCACAGCCCACATCTTTTGTCATTCCGTCTATTAAAGAGACAGTTATTGTCAAAACACCAAGTCGAGAATATACTACTTTCAACTTTCAGATACTGGTGGCATCTTCTGTGTGTACTGATATGTAAGACCATAGTAAAGCATAGACTACTAAGCAATTACTTTGAGCAAGGCTTGCACTCTTTCTTCCCAGTAGAAAATATAATTCAATTTCTTCAGTTCTACAGAAATGCATTATTCTAATTCAACCCTTTTTTTTTCCCAGTAAGTAATCCAACATTGAGGCAAGTAAAAACGCAAGGTACGGTTTCCTCTAATGGACACAGATCAAAAAACAGAATTGGTGACATACAACAAAAATCAACATTTCATCGAATGTATTTTAAGAACTGAAGCAAAACTTGCAATGTATGATCATGCACAAACCCACCACACAAACACACACGAGTCGATTCTAAGGGAGAGAGCAGTAGGACTAGTAAATGACAGATGTTCCTATCTCAAATAACAAATAAGCTAAGGGATATGCAGAGCACCGACCAAATCTCAAAATTACTTCAATTGTGCTCCCCTACGAAACCTTTGCCAATTATGAAGACTTGTTACAGAAGAAAAAGGGCTTGCTCAACCATATGCGCGCACAGAGAGAGAGAGAGAGAGAGAGAGAGAGAGAGAGAGAGAGGATTACCGCATCGGCGTCTCTCGACCGAGCACAGTAGGGCTCTTCGACTTCGGAGTTCTGAGTCGATTTCAACTCTTTTCTGTTGTTATTCTAAAATAGATTAGTCTATGCAGAGATTCGAACCTAATCTGCAGTTAATTTCCAGAACACTGCTCGTCTTTTCTATCTGGCAGTTGGGTTGAGAGAGTTGCTCATATCCTGGCCCATGACCCAGATCCAAGAATTGAAGTCCAGTTGACTCGANTATGCAGAGATTCGAACCTAATCTGCAGTTAATTTCCAGAACACTGCTCGTCTTTTTTATCTGGCAGTTGGGTTGAGAGAGTTGCTCATATCCTGGCCCATGACCCAGATCCAAGAATTGAAGTCCAGTTGACTCGAAAATTTGGGCTCAGGCCCGAAAAAGCTGGTCATATCCTGGCCCATAGCCCATTTAGAAAAATGAATAATGCATTCCTAATATAGATTGTTGCCATCCAAATCAGGCATTACATCATCCTCTGGACATCGAACCTCATATTTGTTTGATCGGGCTCAACGGGTTGTACATATATTTCAATTAAGAGGAATATTATTAGAATTTAAGTTATTAACCTAATTCACTATAATTATTATATTGATTGTGAACTTCATCAAACATTAGAATATAGTGTTAATTCTGATGGTGTAATGTACGGGGTTGTGTAGTAGAGCTCGGTGCTCAAAAAGGGGAAATGGATTGGAGATTCGTAAGAGACGTTAATGGAGTTTACTAGAATACCCACTTAGAGCTACTACTAGACTCTCGATGGTTAAACAATCGACACAAGGATAATGATATAGAATAAAAATCAACAGACAGGGGAGGCAATAGTGGTTCACAAGCTCGAAAGTTTGACTAGTCCATTCTAATAGAATCTCTTGTGTCTAGGAGAGTTTTTTATTGCTTGGGAAAGACGATTACAATACTCTTAAGAGTCAATTCACATATATTTGNGTTATTAACCTAATTCACTATAATTATTATATTGATTGTGAACTTCATCAAACATTAGAATATAGTGTTAATTCTGATGGTGTAATGTACGGGGTTGTGTAGTAGAGCTCGGTGCTCAAAAAGGGGAAATGGATTGGAGATTCGTAAGAGACGTTAATAGAGTTTACTAGAATACCCACTTAGAGCTACTACTAGGCTCTCGATGGTTAAACAATCGACACAAGGATAATGATATAGAATAGAAATCAACAGACAGGGGGTTAATAGTGGTTCACAAGCTCGAAAGTTTGACTAGTCCATTCTAATAGAATCTCTTGTTTCTAGGAGAGTTTTTTATTGCTTGGGAAAGACGATTACAATACTCTTGAGAGTCAATTCACAGATATTCGATCCTCCACAATGTGAGAGATTGATATCTATTTATTGTGTGTAGGAGTACAGTCCTTGCGTAATCAGTGTTAACCTTCGGGATTGTTACGACCCATGTGATGAAGTATTTGGTCGTTGGAGGCTACATTCCTTAGGCATGACGTGACCTTTATAAGGTGTGAGTTGTTGCTATCGTAGTGTGCACGAAAGTCATATTGGTGCTAACTCCTGATCTGTGGTTCCCGAATTAGGAATAATGAGTTGGGAGGTCTGAGCTGGGGTCACTAGCTAGGCAACTGGGGATTGGGAACTCAACTCATTCGCTGACCTTAGTTGTCTCGAACTAGAACCCAGATTCTGACGTCATCATGTGGGCCCCTATTGGGGGCATGTCTTTGAGCTGTTTCTAGGCCGAGCTTAGCCTTGGATAATTTCTAGTATCATAAGTTATCTCTAAGTTCTGAGCTAGGTCTGCCTTGTCTAACGTGGATTGGGAATGCCCTGCGCTTTTGGCTGTGGATAAGCTCGGCTCGTATTTACTTAGAATTAGCGTGATAGGATGTTTCAAAACTGCTTATTGACAAGGCCAAGCATGAGGTCTATGTGGCCTCTTAGACTTGGGCTTATTGAACGTTTATGGGTTGTCTTGTCTGAAGAGCTCATTGTTTGTTTATGAGGTGAAAAGATCATCTTACACTTATAAGTTGAAGAGCTTATCGTGAGTTTATTAGCTCATCTTACATTTATAANTGAGGTCTATGTGGCCTCTTAGACTTGGGCTTATTGAACGTTTATGGGTTGTCTTGTCTAAAGAGCTCATTGTTTGTTTATGAGGTGAAAAGCTCATCTTACAGTTA